ATTCCTGGAAAATAATTATCCTTTGGGCCTAATTGAGAATAATATCTCTACTGAGGAATACATTTTCAGATGGAGACCATTTAGTCAAAGAGAGACAGACTGAGACCTTTTCCCATGTCATAATTTTACCGTTCGTCTTTCTCTCAAAATAGATAGGCTAATTAGTAAATAAGTGGGGCATAAAAACAGTGTTTAAGGAAACCCTCACACTTTGTTCTATTATGCCATCATTTAGAGAGAAATATGTCCCATTATCAAGATCCGGCTGCTACAAGATTGTTTGCTCATGTGATCGATGTTATGTTGGTGAGACATGTCGACCTATTCGACAAAGATTGGTAGAACGCAAAAATGCTTGCAAAGGTAGCTGGATCCAACGTTTAGAAGTGGCCGAACACATGGTAGAAACTGGACATGAAATAGAATGGTCTCAAACCAGTAAGTTTGCTGATTACTGTACGTCTCTGTTTAAAAGAAAGGTAGGAGAGGCTATTGAAATTAATAGCTTAGAAAATGCGTTGAATGTGAGGAACAGTGGTAGAAAGTTGAGTAGGATTTACTTATTCTTTATGGATAAATTGAAAGAGAGAGAGGGTATTGAGCCGCCGTCAAAAAGAAGGCGACTCAATTTGTCGGCTCGGTGATGGTTCTAATTTCACTCACACTCGTCCAGCGTGTTAGATTAAGCTCATCAACCAAACCAGGCGTGCCAAATTACGCAGCCCCAGTCATACCTTTCCTTAGAGGGTTAAACGTTAATGACCATAGACCAAGAGATTAGGTCAAGTGGTTTTGTAACTTGACTTACATGCTTACAAGCTCATATCTCATTATCTCAATCATACTTGCTTACTGACTTACGCAGTCTTTGTCAGGGCTTTCTTTGAGGTCATTAAGCGTTGATGATCAGAGCCTAACTTTAATCTTTTGATCACTCTGATTTAGGACCGGTATTGAGTATAGACGCTAACACAAACACGCATACACTCGAGCAAATGTAGCAGGACAAGTATGAAAGATAATAACCAAACCACTCTATACCGATCTAGGTTTTTAATTTTTAATTTTCTTATGGCGTAACTGAGTCTATATAAGAGGTAAGATAAAGCCGGATAGTCTTCTTGGCCTAGTGTTAACGAAAGCTTGTTACAAGAATGACACCCAGCTCTGATGAGGTCCATCATATGATGAACGAGGGAGGAAGTCGCGTGAACTGCGTCAACATGAATATCGTATAAAATCCAACCGGCTGCAGTACATCGAGTTTCATCCGTCCTCATCTGGTGAGATCGACCAATGAATCTCTTCATGCACCTTCATACGAAATGAAAGTCCCCCTAACAATGTTATTTCAGGAGATTAATCGAAACCAAATTTCTCTTCTATCTATAATTACTCCTTACCCTCTTATCACA